CCTCCCTCCCCCTCCCTCCCCCACCTTCACTTTCTGAAGGCCTACTGTGCAGCAGGCTGTGTGCTGGGGAGGTTGAAATCTGGGATTACAAGGAAAACCTCACTGGCTGTGATAGGGAAGACACTACAGGGGAAGGACAGAGTCACCTGAGCAAACACAAGAAATAAGAAAAATCAGCCTGGCCAGCGTGACTCAGTTCTTGAGCGTCGACCCATGAACCCAGAGGTCCCAGGTTCAGTTCCCAGTCAGGGCACATGCCCTGGTTGCAGGCTCGATCCCTAGCAGGGGGAGTGCAGGAGGCAGCTGATTGATGATGTGTCTCTCTCATTGATGTTTCTCTCTATCCCTCTCCCTTCCTCTCTCTCTAAAATAATCAATAAAAACATATTTTTTTTAAAAAAAGAAAGAAGCGAAAATCAAGGCAGACACAGTGACAGAGCCCCACAAAAGTCATGGCTGGTTAAGATTAGCTGGAAGGAAGCTGGGGAGAAAGAGTGACCAGCCTGTCCTGTCCTTTGCTGGGTAGGGACATTGGCTCTCAAGTACCAGGCAGTTAGTGCAGGGCAGGACACTCAGCTGTGCCTTGGAGAGCTGGCGGCTGGGGCTGGGATGGCTCTGGGGCCAAGGCCGGCAAGGGGAGGTGTGTGTGTTTGTCTTGCCATCTGTCCCTGGCCCCTTAACCTCCATCTACTGCTGTCCGAGCATGGGCCCCATTCTCCTGCCTCTCTCTGCTTACCCATCAGTAAGCACGCTCCCTGCGTGGGCACCCAGCGTGGGCCTTAGCCGCAGTCTGCAACACGCTGGGGCTCAGTACCCACAGCTTAGAGCCACCCAGTTCCAAGTTCCATGGTGACAGTTGGGCTGGGCCAGCTTGGCTCAAGTGTCCATGCCTGGCCCAGTCGGCTGTGGCCAGGGACAGGGCACACACCCACTGCCCATCAGCGACAGTGGTGAGATCAGCCTCTCCGAAAGGTGTGCGGCCAGGGCAGGCAAATTGCCAGAAGCTTCCAGATGGACAGTGGGCATGGGTGGCCTGTGAAATAGGAGGGGGAGGGGAGGGGAGCATGAACAGACCCAGCCGGAGCAGGGCAGGCAGCTGAGGGGGCTCCGGGGCTCCGGCCGGCACTCAGTCTCCCCTCTGCCCCGCAGTTGTGCTGGTCCTGGTGTTTGGCATCTGCTGGGCCCCGTTCCACATCGACCGCCTCATGTGGAGCTCCGTGTCCCGCTGGACCGAGGGCCTGCTCCTGGCCTTCCAGTATGTGCATGTGGTCTCCGGGGTCTTCTTCTACCTGAGCTCGGCCGCCAACCCCGTGCTCTACAGCCTCATGTCCAGCCGCTTCCGAGACACCTTCCGCGAAGCCCTGTGCTTGGGGACCCGGTGCCGTCGCCACAGACTCCGCAGCAGCTCCCGCAGCCTCAGCAGGGTGACCACAGGCAGCACCGTGTGTGACCTGGGCTCCCTGGGCAGCAAGACCCACCCGCTGGCTGAGAACTGTGGCCCAGAGGGCCTGCAAGAGGCTGACCCCTCCCTCTGCAGAGGCGCCTCAAAGCAGTTTCACCTGGGGGAGCCAGAGGGTCACATGCAGCTCTGGGAGCCACGCTTGATCTCTTCTTCGGGGATGTCTTCATGCCTGTCCCCCTTTGTGCCCCATCCCCACGCAGCCACCTCAGTGACTCCCGACCCTACCATGTACTAGAAGGGATGTAGGGTACCGGCTGCCCTCCAGACCTCTGGGCCCCCAGTTAAAGTCCTTCCCTGCAGGAACCTTCGTCTGGGGACATCCCCACTCCTGCCACCAGTTTCTGAAATGTTTTCCCCCAGGGCCCGACCTTCCCTTCCCATTTTCTGTCCCTCTCTAGCTCCTGGCTGCACCTGGGACCCTCCTCCTACCTGACTCTTCCCCAGCCCCAGTCAGCTTATTCTGCTCTGGGATCACCACCTGGTGGTGCTGTAGGGTGGCAGGGGTGCCAGGGATCTAGGGGACCTGGTTTGGATCTCAGCCCTGTTGCCACCTAGCTGTGCGGCATCAAGCAAATCACCTCACCTTTCCAGGCCTCAGTCCCCCGTTTGCAAAATGAAAGGGGCCCTGACATTCTAAGTGCCACACTCAAACTTTTGATGTTTTCTGCACATGTGCATAAGCCACTGCTGTAGTGAAACCGACAGATCCCTGCAGATTCCCAAGGCGGAAATGACTGTGTGCATCCTGACCACCCCTGCCCTGCTCCCTCCCCACCTCCACGGGCCGCCTCCCCAGGCCCCCTTCTGGGGGCTGGTTGCACAACTGTGTGAATGTTCTCACGCAATATTCAACTGTAGGCTCAAACGGTTAAGACAGTAAATTTTGTTGTGTAGTTTACCACAGGTTTTTTTTTTTTAAGCAAGGATTAAATCTAAGATAAGCAGATATTTTCATTTATTTTTGTAAAGCCCCAAACTACAGTCTGTAATACTTAATAATCATTCACATTCTCTCTCTTTTTAAAATGATCTCTCTTTTTTAAGAAGCAAGAAAGATGAGAACAGATTTAAGGAATTTGATCTGAGAAACACTGACATTCTTCTGACAGTCAAAACATCCTCAGCACAGGCTCACCCTCTCGAGCTCCTGCACAAGGCAGAGCCGGACAACCACGGCTGTTTAGGAGCAGATATCAAGGCCAATATCCTGTAGAGTTACATGATGAAGTATTTACAGGCAAAATGATAGGATTCCCATTAAAATACTCAAGCAAAAAAAAAAAAAAAAA